GGTATATAATCCAGGTGGATCCTAGTAATATCAGATATGAAAAGTGATACACAGAGAAAGTTATATATATATATATATATATATATATATATATATATATATATATATATATATATATATATACACATAATTTTAAGGTATGCTTTATTTACAGGTAAATGTGGTCAATATTAGGGATATTTCGTGTTGGGTAGCAAATGCAAAGATGTTAGCGTTCAAACCTTAAACAGACTGTCGCCGCTCAGGTTTTACTTTAATATATATATCTTACTTATTATAAAACGCAGATTGTGTGTGTGTGTGTGTGTGTGTGTGTGTGTGTGTGTGTGTGTGTGTGTGTGTGTGTGTGTGTGTGTCTGTAACGTTTATATGTTGAATCGAATTTCCTACATTTTTTAGCCGATTTCAACAAAACTTCACAGGACTACATAAAATTACCTTGTGGTGGTTCTAACGGGGCCGAAAATGGGAAAAATACAGTTGTTTTTTAATAAAATCAATTTGAAAACACGATTAAGACACATCGTGAGAATGAAAGGGGGACAACTCACCCACGAAAATGTAAACAAAAGAGCATAGCATGATGAAAAAAAAGCCGAACTCGACGAAAACAAAATTTTATCGTCTAATGTTCATATTATTATTAAAGAGGAAAGATCAAAGTATTTTGGGGGTATTTTTTTACATTTTTAATCGTTCCTAGCACGTCTGAAATTTTCGTTAAAAATATTGTTTTTTTTTTTGGTCAAAAAAGGACAGATAATCAATCATTTTCAATCATTTTTTCGATTTGATAAAAAAGATTAAAATCTTACTTTGATATTCTTTTTAAAAATCAATTATCATTTTTTCAAAACTGATTTTAATAAAACCAGAAATTACACTGTTTATTTAAAATATTTTGAACCAAGCTTAACTTAGCTTCTGCGCCGAAAAAAAGTAATTTGAAAATAAAACAAAGCAGGTCATAACCTTTCGCGTCGCTTGACGATTGATGAAAGGCACATTCATGACGTTTAGATAGCTTACGGGAGGAGAATTCTTTCTACGGATGGAAGGAAGTGAAATTATTTAAGTGAACAAATTATTTACCTTGTTACTTTTAAGGAAAACTTTCAGCGCTGTAATTTTTTTTTTTTTTTTTTTTTTTTTTGTACTTAGCTTTCATTTTTACGTTTACGATGCTTTATGGAAAATATAAAGAAATTAAAAAATAAGACTGTTAATGAGATTAAATTTCATAAGAAAAAGGTATCTAATTAATTTAGGTACCTTTCTTATGAAATTTTATCAGAAGTGTACATAAAATACTATAATTTTATGTACATTTATTACATTTTACTGTGTTATTTGTATTTCCATTCATTTTATTATTAATTTTGATATTTCATTTATGGAAAAATGTCATAACTGAGATTAATATAAAAATAAGATCATATAAATTAAAGTTTAGCAGTAATTAAATTTCATAAGATTATACTGTTACTTGTAGGTATCCTTCTCCATACGTGTTTCGCAAAAGTAAAGGGCTTAACAGCGGAGAACAATGCTGAACTCAAATAATGCAACTAAATTGTATTCTGGTTGGTCTTCCGTACTTGATAATTACTGTCCGACTATAAACACAAAAATCACATTTCTTAATTACCATGGCTAATCTGATTGGTCCAAATTATACAATTTTCAAAGCGCTAGACAATGACAATCTCACACGGACATTTTGAAAGGTTGATGTTGCTTTTAACTAATGTTAAAATATTTTTTAAAATTCAATTTAAACATTTTTTAAAAATCTTTTTAAAATTAAAGAAATAAGAAATAATTGTATTAAAAATTCAATTTTCATTGAAAAAATTTTTTGTTTTCAGAAAATATTGTCCATATTCATAAAAATAAATTAAAACAAATAAAAGCATTTGAAACTAAATAATATATTTGTTTTATTGATTTTTGTATGTTACAATTCACAGCTGATTTTCAGGTACGTTGGCCAAAAAAAAAAAAAAAAAAAAACATGATTTGCATTCTTCAAAGCCTTGTGCTTTTAACTATTGTAATCACTAAAACCGATGGTCTCGAATTTCTAGAGTTTTTCATAAAATTAGTTATGGGGGTGTTAATAAATATAAAAAAATATTTTTGCCATGACTTTAATAAAAAAAAACATATTTATAATAATTTCGATCATCTGTGAATAGTTTCTGAAAGTTTCATTAACATCTGACAATTATTTTTATTTTTGCAAGATTTTCCAAATTAATGTGTGTAAATACAAAAAAAAACGCGCTAAAAATTATCTATGTTATTTACTACCCCTTGTTGCGACAACTAGAGAAACAAGGTTTTTAAATCAAAATTTAGAATATTCTAAAAAGATGGAAAAATTTTTTAAAAATAATTAAAAAAAATTTATTCTATCCTCTTCATAAAAAAATATAAGCATTTTGACGATAAAATTTTGTTTTCATAAACTTTGGCGTCTTTTTTTTCATCAGACTATGCTCTATGTTTTAGCGATTCCGTGGAGTGACTTAGGTTAAAAACCCAGGTTGTTTATGTGTGTGTGTGTGTGCGTGTTCCCTTTATATATGGGATCGGATTTCTTACATTTTTCAGCCGATAAAACAAACATCCACTTTTTTTTTTTTGGCAGGTAGTTTTCTTATTGTCTTGCACACTTTTTTTCTTTATTTACATTCAGAATGCTTTAAAAATTCCATTTACAAGACAATTGTTTATAATAAAATTCTATTCACCAATCGATAGACTCATAACGATTGTAAACAATGTTTTTGTTTGAATTTGGGTTTGAACAATTCGTGAAAAAAAAAAACTAATTAAGACATGCGTGTCCGTCAACCTTAAACAATAATCTTTGTCAATTTTATTTTTCAGTCTTTATGATGGTCGATACTTGATCTATCTCTTTATTGTTACATCCCCAGGCAACGCCGGGCTATACTGCTAGTAATATATATATATATATATATATATATATATATATATATATATATATATATATATATATATATATATATACTGTGTGTGGAGGATTCGTTTTTTGGCGTTAGATGATATTAGAAAATTTGTGTTTTAACTAAGTTAATGAAAAAAAAAACAGAAATGTTTTGAGTGCTTGTTGTCATACTAAGATGCATTTCAAGACGGAAAGAATTGTATATTGTTTAATATAAAGAGCATTTCGGTCACGTAATGCTTTTTATTTCAACAAAGCTAAAAATGCGCCAAAAGCGCCCTAAAGTTATATATAATTTAAGATGCATGTAGTGTGATTAATCAAGAGGTTTTCAAATTTCGCATTGTAGATATGTCGCTTAAAGTTTCTACAGAGTTTGGGATATCATTAAGTATGATAGGGCTCACTGAAAACATTACTTAAGAATGCCCAATGAATGGAAGACAGCCAATATATTCAATGTATTCAATGGAAGCACTGAATATCATTTACACCAGTTATGTTATCTTCGGTGGTTTAAAGGAACTGAATAACCTACGGCTACCTACCAAATCTGGCAGATATTCGGCAATGGTCTCCGGAGAAATTTACAGAGTCGTTTTTGGAAAGCTTATGAACACGATGAAGATCGATTCCGAAATCAATATATTGATTCTTTAGGAGTGACTTTTTCTCTAGATTATTCCATGTGTATTTAGGTAAAAATAAAACAATCGTTTATCGAGAGAATGGATCATCATTCCAGAGAATAAAAAAATTGGAACGCATAAGTATAAACTTGATGACAAGTCCTACAATATTGTTATGCAGTAACTAGTTCTCACCGTTTTACATTTCAAATTGGTAGTTACAACCGTAAGTTCTATGCTAACTGTTTCTTCTTTTGCACTATGGAACTCTCTTAACTCTCCTTACTTTCTAGTCAATTTTGATCTTACAAAATTTAAATGCAATATCAATCGTTATTTTCTGTCTTCTTAATTCCTGTTCTTTAATTCCTTATTATTATTTTTTTAATAGTTTTTTTTTCTCATATTCTTTCAAACACAAAAACCCTCTCATATATTATTAGCTTTATTGCCTTCATTGGGTCAAATTAATTTTTAGAAAATTTAACTTCGTCATGATCGATGACATATTTCAACTTGAAGTATAGCGATTAATTCGGCACCGCTAAACATTTATCAAAAGCCACAACTGATCGTAAAAAATAAGTGTAAACATGTTTTCGGGGCGGTCTAGCTCGTTGTAACCGTTTTTAGATATTACCGTTTTTTGAATTGATTCGAATCTCAGCTTTAACGCCAACATATCTGGCTGTAGCAAATAAAACTGTATGGCGAAGAGCGCTGACGACACCGGCGATTTGATAGTGACCGCGTAGATACTATTTAAACAAAGAAGAAAAAACACAAATTTCGGAAGATTAATCTACAATTTTCATTTCGATATACAGATATCTTATTCGATAATTAGAAAAATACAATGAGAAATATAACGAGACATATGAATGTAAATATATATATATATATATATATATATATATATATATATATATATATATATATATTGTTAAAATATAACAATTAATGTCTATGATGTTTGAACATAAACTGTTCTAAACTTCGTATGGTTGCTATAATTTCAGAATATATATATATATATATATATATATATATATATATATATATATATATATATATATATATACGTTGTGTGTATGTTTATTTATAGGTGTTGTATATTTATGAATTCACACAGTTACGTACATGCATACTAGCACACTAATATATATATATATATATATATATGTATATGTGTAAGTGTGTGCATATATATATATATATATATATATATATATATATATAATCATATAATCATGAAATCAGGTTTGAGTCATAGACAAGCCAGACGAAAATGATATATTTGATTTCTTTTATCTTAGCGCCATACATACCCAGCAAGAAAATTTCATTACATTAATCACATAATTTTCCAACGTCTCTCTCTTCCACCTTCCGACATGTCTCCGTGTCCAGACCAACTTTCGGTACGCTGCGTTCGATTCATGAGACACTTGCTCTGTCTCTATTGGTTTTGCTAAACTCTTTGTGCATATTTTTTTCCATTTATTTCCGTTTGTAGCACACAGCGCTCTCCTCTCGCCTGTTTGTAGATTTTGATCTGAAACGTTGTAAGCACATATGAAAATCGATAATAATTCGGAAAGATATGTGCAATTTAGGAAAGCAAACAAAAAAAAGAAGTTTTTAGTGTTACGTGAAGTCAAAGGTGAATTTATTCTGACTAGCATTCTCACATTTAATGCTTCTCTAATTAAATTTCGACCGGTCAGTTCTCTTGCCATAGAGTTTTGTGCTTCTAGTAAGCACTGTTTGCAGTGGTGCATGAATTATTAGGACTAATATCTTCAAAGCTGTTTCTTCCATAAAAAGGTTTCGACAAATGAACTTTTTGGCTTTTTTCTGGCACAAAACATTCGATATAATGTCGAAACTTACCCCGTTGCTGAACCTTCTACGCGCCAAAATTCGCCTGCGAGCGCGTTCACTCCATTTATCGACTGGGGAAGCCTGAATATTTGATTGTCCCGTTCTGTTGGGGAGTGGTGTGTCTGTGGACGAATTTGATTGGAGGAAAGCTGATTTACGATTTTTCAGGGTTCCAAAATGTCTTTTTGAAAAAACAAAAAACAAAAAAACAAAAACAAAACAAAAATGACTATTGTATGTCTTGGAAATAGTTAAGTACATTTTGTAACATATTGTAGTTAATCAACATAAACATCCAAGGTAATCTCTGAAAATTCATCCCAGCGGGAGTTCGAAAGAATCAGCAGCAAGTGGAACAGCAGACCAAATTTTCTAAGTCTATACACTTATAATTCTTTTTCCCCTTATGTTTCTGGCGATATTTGTGATTGTCTATCTATTTACTGTTTATCTTTCTGACTGACTATCTTTCTGACTATATATTCATGACAGTCTGTCCTTCTGACTGCCTATCTTTTAACTGCTTATCTTTCTGACTGTCTACTTTTCACTATCTTACTGGCTGCCTGTCTTTTATTGTCGATCTTTCACATTATCTTTCTGACTGTCTATTTTTTACGATCTTTCTGACTGTCAATCTTTTCATGTTCTATCTTTCTGACTGTATATCTTTCTGAATATCTTTCTGACTGAAATTTCTCTTTACTGTCGTTCTAACTGTGTATTTTTTACTGTCTATCTTTTTACAGTCTATTTTTTTACCATCTCTTTACTGTCTATATTTCTGACTGCATAGCTTATTACTGTCTATCTTTCTGACTATCTATCTTTCTATTTTTATTGTCCATCTTTCTGAGAGCCGATCTTTCTGACTGTCTAGGTTTTATACTCTCTTTCTGACTGTCCAGCTTTTTACTGTCTATCTTTCTGACTCTCTATCTTTCTGACTGTATATATTCATAACAGTCTAACCTTCTGACTGCCTAACTTTCTGACTGCCTATCTTTTTACAGTTTATCTTTCTGTCTTCTTTTCACTATATTACTGACTGCCTGTCTTTTATTATCTATCTCACATTATCTTTCTGACTGTCTATCTTTCTGAATATCTTTCTGACTGAAATTTCTCTTTACTGTCTTTGTGACTGTCTATCGTTCTAACTGTGTATTTTTTACTGTCTAACTTTTTACTGTCTTTTTTTCCTATCTCTTTACTGTCTATATTTCTGACTGTATAGCTTATTACTGTCTATCTTTCTGAGTCTCTATCTTTCTATTTTTAGTGTCTATCTTTCTGAGAGTCGATCTTTCTGACTGTCTATATTTTTACTATCTGACTGTCTATCTGTTTACTGTCTATCTTTCTGACTCTCTCTCTTTCTGACTCTCCTGTCTATATTTTTACTGTGTATCTGACTCTCTCTCTTTCTGACTCTCTCTCTTTCTCTTTCAGACTCTCTATTTTTCTGACTCTCTCTATCTTTCTGACTCTCTCTCTCTCTTTCTGACTCTCTCACTCCTTCTGACTCTCTCTCTTTCTGACTGTTTATCTTTCTGACATTCTATTTTTTACTATCTTTCTGTCTATCTTTCTGTCTATCTTTCTCACTGTCTAACTGTGACTAAATTCAATTTCAAACAAGACTGACTTCTTTGAAATGGTACATTGGCTGAAAACTTAGAGACATTTACATAGAAAATATTTTCTAAAAACAAGTAAGTCAGTTACGCTTTTCATCACTATCAGTGTCTCCTTAGCTAACAGTGATCAGCACTGCTATACATTATACTGCTGAGAAGTTTTTGAGCCAAGTTACTGCTATTATACAAAAGTTCTATCATATCAGCGCTCTTGTTTTTTTTTTTTAGCACAAGTATTCTTTGATGATACGGTTTTATCTAAAAATGATTTAATCGCACTAACATCGTCATCTTGTTAATTTTAAATAAAGACTTCTTTGAGTCAGCTTATCATTATAATAGGATGATTCTTTTATGTTTGCATCCATACGTTTTCCTCCAATGGTTTTTGGAGTTTTGCTATACAATTTTCTTTATCAAAATCCTCTCAAGTTTTTTTTTTTAATTTATTTTCTCCTTCATTTTCGCTGTAGTTAAAATCAAAATATTCCTTTTCGTTTCCCGATATTTCCAGCCCCAAATATATTTCATCACTTTTCGTCATATTATCAATCATTCTTCATTTTCCCGCTTCGAAATCTGAACGTGGTCAGCCATTTTCCCGGACAAAATATAACGACTTGATAAATATTGACGTTCTATTTCTTTTTTTTTTTCTCACACTTCACTTTTTTCCAATTCCTCACGCTACAAAAAAAAAAAAACTTCTATCGATTGGGTAATTTTCTCACTCGCGTCTTACTTTCTTTAAGGTCAGCCAACACACGAACAGTGTATAAAATAGCGATGTGTAAAACGAACGGCCATTCTTTCATTCTTCTACCAGAGCGACATTTCTTCATTTCCTTCTTCGATGGATCCGTCACTTCACGTCCCCGTTGCTCGGATTCATGTCTCGCCTCGGGCCTCGACATTCCTGCACACGCGATGGTAACTCTAAAATTCTTCCAGTCTAATATACGGTTCACGCCCTGAACAAAAAAAATATCATCAACATGTTATTTTTCTGAGATTTGGAATCGATATGATGTGTTTTTTTTTTTCTTTCTTTCTTACATTTAAAGAAGGAAGGAATTTCTCAGGCGAGTTTATTGATTTCTTCTTAGAATATAATGGTAAAAGTGTTTCCCGGAAACATGTTTTATGATTTATTCTTCCAAAGAATGGTAAAAGATTTTGGAGAAATTTATAACCTACATCCTGATAATAATCTTTTCAAATATTTGCACAGAAAAATAGTGACGGAAATATATTGTTTTTAAAATGGTGAAATTATGAAATTTCTCTGGCAGAAATGAGAAAAAATCTGGACAGTTGTTTTTCTTTTCTTCCATTAATGATTCAGTGTTCATACAGTTAGTTAACTCGTGGTTGCTGATGAAGTGAAAAATAGTCTCTTTAATAATCCACTATGCTTCGTGTTTGGGGGCGTGGAATACCCGACTGTGTTATTTCCAGAAATTAAGACTTCGACTCCTATACACTGAACTGACTATCTTTTTACAGACTATCTTTCAGACTATCATTTCACTGTCTTTTTGACAGTCTATCTTTCTGGCTAACTTTCAGACTATCTTTCTGACTATCATTTCACTGTCTTTCTGACAGTCTATCTTTCTGACTATCTATTAGACTGTCTTTCAGACTATCATTTCACTGTCTTTCTGACAGTCTATCTTTCTGACTATCTTTTAGACTGTCTTTCTGACTATCATTTCACTGTCTTTCTGACAGACTATCTTTCTGACTATCTTTTAGACTGTCTTTCAGACTATCATTTCACTGTCTTTCTGACAGTCTATCTTTCTGACTATCTTTTAGACTGTCTTTCTGACTATCATTTCACTGTCTTTCTGACAGACTATCTTTTAGACTGTCTTTCTGACTATCATTTCACTGTCTTTCTGACAGTCTATCTTTCTGACTATCTTTCTGACTATTATTTCACTGTCTTTCTGACAGTCTATCTTTCTGACTATCATTTTGCTATTTTCTAACTATCATTTTGATTGACTGTCTCTTTTCCTGTCTAACTGTCTATCTTTCTACCATTTTACTGTCTATGTTTCTGACTGTCTATCTTTCTGACTATCGTTTTACTGTCTATCTTTCTGGCTATCCTCCTTTCTAGCTTCATGACTGTCTATCTTTCTATTTTTCTGTGTATCGTTTTACTGTTTATCTTTCTGGCCCTCTACCTTTCACTATCTTTCTGTATGTCTATCTTTCTGTATGTCTAGCTTTTTGACTGTCTATCATTTTGACTGTCTTTCTGACTGAAATTTCTTTTTACTGTCTATCTTTCCGACTTTCTATCTGTTTGAATGTCTATCCTTTTACTGCCTGTCTTTCTGAAAGTCTTTCTTTTTGACTGTCTATCTCCTTACTATCTTTCTGTCTATCTTTCTGATTGTCTATCTTTCTGAAAGTCTATCTTACTATTCATTTTTATTGTCCATTTTCTGCCAGTCTATCTTTCTGACTGTCTATCGTTTTACTATCTTTCTCACAGCTTATCTTTAACTGTCTATCTTTTTCACTGTCTAACTTTCTAACTGTTTATCTTTTTACTGTCTATTTTCTAACGGTATATCTTTTTACTTCTATGTTTCTGAGTGTCTATCTTTTAGATTGTCTATCTTTTTGACTGTCTATCTTTTTGACTGTCTATCTTTAATGTCTGTCCTGACTGTGTATCTTTCTACTCTAGTATAATTCAAGACTATACAACCATTTGATCTAATTGAAAACTGAACTTTTGTATACTACATTAGCACATTTATAAGGTCTGAATTGTATCTATACTTTTAGATCTAGTAAAAAACTGTCTTCTTTTGTGGGTTACAATGAAAAACCAAACATTTGTCTATTTTCTAGACTCTAGGGGAAAAACCGTACATATGTCTAAATCTTTGACTCTAGTGGAAAATTAGACCTTTCTGTAATGTTACGGGCTCTAGTGAAAAACAAAATATTGTCGTCTTTTTTATGCCAGTCTGAACTGTACTAATATCTACCTTTTAACACTAAGTCGGACACATATCTACTTTTTAGTCAATTCATTTCAATTCTTATTCTATAAGAATTATACCTGGCAGTAAATAACCGAAAATATGTGATATGAACCATAAATTAACATAACAAAATTAAATTAAATAAATTACCTAACAAAATTCTTTACTCTTCTTTGGCTTCTTAGCGTTTCCAATAATACCTGTTTTCACGTTCTCTTCGGAAATATCCTCAGTAATCAGATAACAACTGCCACGGCCTGCCAATTTTTTGTTCTACATTCGCTGTTCATTATTAATACCCAGAGACGTAGCATTTCTTCTTTTTTTGTTTCAAATCTACATTGTATTCTGGCAGAACAAACTCTCTCTCTCTCTCTCTCTCTCTGTGTGTGTGTGTGTGTGTGTGTGTGTGTGTGTGTGTGTGTGTGTGTGTGTGTGTGTGTGTGTGTTTGTGTGTGTGTGTTTCAGCCCTCTGGTACGTTTTGTTCTTTGGCAAGACCTGACACAAGCCTTCATTCCTGGTTTCGCTGATTCGTTCAGATCCCTAGATTCCAGAGTATATTCCGTGTCTAACTCTCTTAGACAGATTCTTTTATGTGTTCCTAGGGTTAAAATATATTCAGTTGAACAATTGTTGTTGTTGTTGTTCTTCTTATTATTATTATTATTATTAGTAGTAGTAGTAGTAGTAGTAGTAGTAGTAGTAGTAGTGGTATCAGTAGTAGTATTAATATTATTATTATTAGTATTATTATTATTAATATTAGTAGTAGTAGTAGTTGTTGTTGTTGTAGTATTAATAGAAAGAGTAGTAGTTATGTAAGAGATCATCAGGCCAACAGGTTGAAACTGAGATACAAACAGGCAAATCCCTGTATACCAATCATGACACCTCGTCTCATAAGGGTATACAGAGCAGATGCATCACAGCCACCTATGCGCGGTATGGTGACACGATTTGATAAATACCGCGCATTGATTTGCAGTGACCCAAATCGAGTAACCCAGACTACTCAGACGCTCGCCAATTGAAAGGATCTCGATATGACCACCCAACTTGCCTTGGCTACTTCATCCTTGAGCCTTGATTAAACACCATCCTCTTGATAGCCGACCCAGCATATTCCCTAATGATTCTGCTTATGAACAGAGATATCCTCTTGAATATGATGAAACGACTAAGCTCAGCGGATCTGTGGTACTGAAATGTAGACTTAATGAAGTCCATCATAATTCACCCCCCCAAAAAAACCAAAACCATATACACACAAACAACTCCAATCAATTAAGATCAGAAGTTATGAGAACGATATCCGGTTTAGCATCAGGGCTTTTATTATTATTATTTTAAGAATAAAATGGCGACGTATTTTATCGATCAAAGTGCTCCGCTGTTACATTTTTCGTAATTAAAAAAATAAAGCCTGTCCGAGATAGATATTGTTGTTCAGCTTTTTACAAATAGTGTCCTCTGAATAATTAAAAGAATACTGCTTAATCCAAAACTTATCCCGAGAATTTGACGCTTGAAATAATCAGAGGAAATTCGGCCGTCATAAAATTCAATGAGAAAATGAATATTAGAAACAGATTTGACAGAACCTAATGCAAACTTTAAAACCAACCTTTAATAAAGCGTAATGGCATATATTGATAAATTTTTCCCTTTACTACAAAACAGAAATATATTTGGTGCGGAGATCGTATATGAATGTAAACAATATGGACAGAAAAATAAACAATGTCTTCTGCTTTAGTTATTAAACAAACAGTTAATAATATTGTTTTCTCTTTCTGCACTGTTCGTACACGTTATATGGACTTTATCTGGGTGCAATTAGCTTTTTTTAAAAGAATGTTTAAATAAAGGCGGTTACAAGATTAAAATTATTTAACAAATTTCTAAATATATTTCCAGACGTCATTTATCTTTTAAAAAAAAAAGGTCTTCAAACCTTTAAAATAAACGATTTGTGTTGGCCAGTCTAAATAAGTAGTCGGCGTCTCATGAGAGGCAATTCGTGCTTGCTCGAGGAAGCGCACCGGACGATAAATATGGCCTTCCATCCACGTTAGCATGAGTATGTCGCGACTTTCTTTCTTGAAAACAGGTCACTTTTGATGTGTTCAGTTTTGATTCTCAAGGCAGTCTCTAATCAGACATTTGACTGATTTTTTTCTCCCGAAATGTTGTGCAGTCGGATATTTAAGTTGTGTTGTTCTACATTTTCTTTGAGGCAAAGCATGAATTTTATTTCTGCGAAGTGGTATGACCAAAAGAATAATAATGCGAAAATATCAGATATTCTATATCAAACTCTTGATAATTCATGATATTATTCCTTAGTGTCTCTTTGTCTTTCTGTTTGTTTTGTCTATCTATCTATCTATCTATCTATCTATCTATCTATCTATATATATATATATATATATATATATATATATATATAATTTATTCGAAAATTATAACATAAGTATTTTATAAAATCACTACAAAATAGCCTGTTTCAACACTTTTGGTGTCTTATCAAGTGATGGTGTTGAATGCCTAAGACATTCGACATCATCAATTAATAAGACACCAGAATTGTTGAAAAAAAAAGGGTATTTTGTAGTGATTTTATAAAAAATTAAAGTTATAACTTTCGAATAGATTATATTTGTTCTACTTTGTATTGAGAACTCTTAAGAATTGTATTTTTTTTTTTGTTATTGGAATTTATTCCGGATCCTATATATTTATATATATATATATATATATATATATATATATATATATATATATATATATATATATATATATATAGTGGACAGCCGCTCGGATTTTAGGAAACGGAGAGATGAGTTCGAATTTCAGTTGAATCCATTACATTTCCTCACGTGCTAATGCCATTGAGAAAGCTATTAATCCTCTTCTCTCCAGCTATGGTTAATTAAATTAGCATGAAAGACTTGGATGGCAACTGGTCTAGGGGAAGGACAACTCTGGATTGAAAACTTGTAGAGGGTCGTACTGCACCAGGTCTCTGTATATGGCCCTTCAAAAAATGTCGATGGTTCTGCACGAAACCTTCACCACTATAATTAAATCAAATGTGCAAGTGTCTGCTTGACATTCTTACATCCAATACGACGGGAGAGTTTGTTTTTTATATATATATATATATATATATATATATATATATATATATATATATATATATATATATATATATATATATACATATATATATATATATAATATATATATAAAATTATTTTAAAAATATGATTCCTTCGCTACATGAGAGTTCTCATGTTTCGAAAACGAGAGCCGAAAACCTAAATATACTTATTAAAATTAATTTGAATTAAAGTATCAAGCCCTGTTTCATCCTCAAGTCAAAATTTTGGAAACTCGGCACTCGTTTTTGAAACATGAGAACTCTTATGTAGCGAAGGAATCATATTTAAAAAAAAAATAATTATAATTTAAGCTCTACTTCTTTATCGAGCACTTGTTTTAAAAAATTAAAACAAAAATACTAAAGAACTCCGGATTATTTCCCTAAAGTGTTCTTTCCTATTTTTCTACATACAGTGTAACCCGGATATAAGAGAGTTGTCAGGACCGGAGAAGTCTCTTATATCCGGGTTTTTATCCGGGTTTTGTTTATTTTATATAATTAACACAGGCTCTAATTTTGGACCAGAGAAAATCTCTTATATCCGGGTCTATTATATCCGGGTTACACTGTATCTGCACACACACACATATATATATATATATATATATATATATATATATATATATATATATATATATATACAAAGAAATAGAAATACTTTTACAAATCAGTGCATTACTCATTCATCATTTGATTGGGTTTGGTTGATTTTGTTTAGCGGCATATCAAAAGATCTATTTAATGCCCAAATCAAAACATTTTGAACATTCTTATTGCTTCAACTAAGTATTGTGAACGCAATCGTGTAACTTCAAAGACTGATGGAATGTGTTGTTGGTCATTTTGCTATAAAATGTACCTTTAGTAATTCTTTCTATATAAAAATGTATTACTGGTATTTTTTTATTATAATAATGTATTTTTATATTTTCAAAGTGTTTTTGTATCTTTCGGAGTTCACTATGTGCCTGTAGATTTCCCCTCACCCCGCTAATCATCCCAGATCAGGGTGGGCATGGGATCAACAGGAATTAATAGGTGGTTCCTAGGATGCTCAAAATCTCCAATCTTCATTCTGCTTAATAGATCTTACCAAAATTTTGACTTCAATAATGCAAAGTTAAAAGAGAATGTTATTTATTAAACTGAAAACATATTGTACACATAAATATTGTATTTGAATTTATTGAAAAAAAAAAATTTTTTCACAATGTAAAAACAATTTTATGGGGGGGCGCACCCACCTTCTGAATGATAATGGACTTATCCCTCTACGATATAAGTCAGTGTTAGAGAGAGTAAGTGTGTAGTGTGAAGGATCAGGTTAGCATTACATAACGTT